TATATATTTAATGTAACTTATATACAGTAATAAATTGTCCGTGGGATCTGACCTTTGGGTCACCCTGTAGACTTCTGCTGGATAAACTTACTCATTTTATGCTGATGGTCTATGATTACAATAAATATTAACTAACTAACTAACTAACTAACTGGCTACATTCATTTTTGACTTCTATCCCAATATATTTTTCTGTATAGGTGCTTTCTCAATTTCAGCTCTCTAATTTTAGGCTTGGTGAAATGTGTTGATTTGAACTAAAAATATGATTAAGTTGCATTTGGGGAGAGGGGAAGAAAGTAATTTGGGATTTAAAATATGCATGGCCAATCGTGTCTCTAGACACAGTTGCTTCAAGCTTTTTATCTTGGTTATCATGAAAGGATAACACATTGTTCCTTACTTAATTTTTTTTTACCAATTTTTTTTATTTTTCATAATGTACAAATTGAGAAAACAAAAGGAAAAAAATATACAAAGATTAAAATTCCTCTTCCATTTCCAGAGTTAACAGTAATTTATACATTTTAGTTATAAGATGGTCATTTAAACATAATTCAGTCACAAATGTAGTTTTATCCTTTTCGAATTCATATAATTTCTGATCAACTTTGAATCTTTCTGATAATTGCATATATAAAAACCAGTGGCACTCGAAGCCTAATGAGGTCAAATTTTCTCTAGTTTTCAATCTGATATCCCCTTGATGATATTTCAACAAATCCCTATATCTTATCCAATTGTAATTCCCCGTCATCTCTGTTCTATGATATGCTTCATGTGCAGATAACCATAGAGGTAGCTTGGGATATATTCTAGATTGATATTTATTCCATATTCTTAGGATGGCCCATCTAATATAATGATTTCTGAAGTCCGCATTGGCCTTAACCATATCATAACACAGATAGGCATGCCACCCAAATCTCAAGTCACAGCCTTCTAAGTTAAATAGTCTTGTATCTCTTCATGTTAACCATTCTTTTGCCCAAACTAAGCAAGATGCTGCAAAATATAATTTTAAGTTTGGTAGGGCTAAACCTCCCCTTTCTTTTGCATCATACAGAATTTTAAATTTCACTCTAGGTTTTTTTCCCTTGCCAAATAAATTTTGATATCTCCTGCTGCCATTGTTTAAGTGGTAGTTCTGTAGGTAATACCAGTATCGTTTGGAATAAGAATAACCTTCTTGGTAGGATGTTCATTTTTATCACAGCAATTCTCCCCAATAAAGACAGATGTAATTTTTCCCATCTAACAAGATCTTTTTTCACTTCATTCCATGTTTTTACATAATTGTTCTGATACAATATACAATTCATATTTGTTAAAGTAATATCTAAATATTTCACTTTTTTAATCTATGTTAAAGCCAGTTTTAGTCAGCAATTCAGTTTGGCCTTGTGATCCCATAGTTTTTGTTAACAATTTTGTTTTATGTTTATTAACTCTGAAGCCTACCAATGAACCAAATTCCTTTAATTTATTCATTAATATTTCTGCCCCTTTCAGCGGGTCTTGTATCATCAATACCACATCATCAGCAAATGCTCTTAGTTTATATATCTCACTTTTTACCTTAATTCCTTTTATCCCATCTTCTCTTCTTACATCTCTGTTCAGAACTTCCAGAACCAATATAAATAGGAGTGGAGACAAAGGGCATCCTTGTCTCATTCCTTTTTTAATGTTGCATGGTGGTGTTAGATCCCCATTCACTATCATTCTAGCTTTTTGTGGTCTATATATTAACCCCACCCATTTTGTAAAATTATCCCCAAATTCCATAATTTCTAGAACTTTAAATAGGACAGACCAATTAAGATTGTCAAATGCTTTTTCTGTATCTAGAAAAATTAATGCAGCCTGTTTTTCGTTATGTTGTTATAGATATTCAATAATATTCAAAACTGTTCTCACATTATCTTTCATCTTTTGGTAAAAACCCACTTTGGTCTAAATAGAAAAAGTCCTGTAGAACTGTTTTCAGTCTTTTGGCCAAAATAGTTGTAAGTATTTTATACTCACTATTTAATAGTGATATTGCTCTATAGTTTTTGGTCAGACTTAAATCTTGGCCATCTTTGGGAATTAATGCATTATTTGTTCCTTTCCATGATTTTAGCATCATCCCTCATTTTAAAATATGGTTCATTGTAGTCAGAAGTGGTTGTAGAATTTCATTTTCAAAATGTTTATAATAGGATACTGGCAGACCATCTGGGTCTGGTGATTTTCCAGTTTTAATCTGTTTTATAACTTCCATAATTTCCTCCTCCATTATTAGATCATTCAAGGTTTGTCTTTGTAAAGTTGTCAGTTTTGTTTTCTAAGATAAGAGTCTATTTTTTCTGTAGGAACTTCAGTTTTTTTATACAAGATGGAATAATACTGATGAAATATTTTTTGTATAGTTACATTATCTGTTATGGTTGTATCCCCTTCTTGAAGTTTGAAAATTGTCCTTTTCTCCCTCTCCTTCCGCAGTTTGAAGGCCAACCATTTTCCAGGTTTATTTGCAGATTCAAAATATTTTTGTTTTACGTAATTCAATTTAGTCTCTATTTCACTTATTGTTAACATGGATAATTGTTGTTGTAAAAGTTTAATTTGGTTTATAATATTTGATTTAGTAAGTGACTTTTTAAATTCTTTTTTTTAATTTCTTGTAAAATCTCTTGAGTTTTTTCTTGAGATTTCTTCTTCACTTCTTTATTATATTTTATAAAGTGGTCCCTCATTACAGCTTTGCTTGTATCCCAAACTATATTTATACCTGTACCTTTATTTAAATTATCCTTGAAATATTCTTTTAATTACTTTTTACAATCATTGATTATTTGATCGTTCTGTAATAGAGTTTCATTTAGTTTCCATATAAAGAATGTAGCCCTCTTTTTAAGGATCAGATTAACAGGGTTATGATCAGAAAATGTCTCTGGGAGAATTTCTGCTTTTGAAGTCAGGGTAGCTAAATTTTTAGAAGCCTATATCATATCAATTCTAGAGAAGAATTGATGCCTTTGGGAAAAGTATGTATAATCTGTAATATTACTATATATATGTGATGGATTGGAATGAGAAGGTTCAAGGGCAGAAGCATCTCCTCAGCCCACAGCTTGAGCATGGGAAAGCAAAGAGGATTAGACTGGCACCACCCTAAGGAATTCGTAATGTTTGGTTGCTGGCTTGATTGATGTCAGGTTAAGCCCAAGAAACTCCACAAGACAGTACTGGAACAGCTCATTTACTTTATTAGCTGACACCTGCTAGACAGAATCTCGCCAGACAAACTCTAAACTCCCCAAGCCAGCAACTAAAC